CCTGTAGTCCCAGCTACTGGGGAGGCTGAGGCAGGAGAATGGCGTAAACTCGGGAGGCAGAGCTTGCAGTGAGCCGAGATAGCGCCACTGCACTCCAGCCTGGGCGACAGAGCGAGACTCCGTCTCAAAAAAAAAAAAAAAAAAAAAAAAAGAAAACAGTGTGCACATAAGAGACCCCAGGAATTCAAGGTTGCATTGCTCCAGGGTTGCCTGGATTTTGAGTGTATTTGGGAATGAGAAGCAGGGATTATAATCTGGAGTGCATGGCATGGCAAGCCACAGTGCATCCGGGGAGGGAATTGTGAAGTTGGGATATATGCTGGTTTTCACCTACGGTTCCTGGTTCATAACTCCCATAGCGCTTGTTACAGTCTTTCGTTAGAATGTTGGCTGTGTTGGGCTTAGGGGCGCCTCTGACCTCCTTCTGCCCTTCCTTCACCTGCCCAAGGCAAGACTCCAGTGTTCCCTGCCTTTCTGATGGTGGCTCTTAAGACCCTCCCAGAAGATGGTCTCACCCTGTTCCTTGTGGGAGGAAATGCTGACATCATGAAGCTTCCATAAAAGCCCAAGAGGACTGGGTTTCATGAGTTTCTGGATGGCTGAGCATGTGGAAGCTCCTGGAGGGTGGCGCCCAGGGAGGGCATGGAAGCCCCGTGGCCCTTCCCCCGTGCCTCCTGCTATGTGTCTCTTCATCTGTGTCCTCTGCAGTGTGCTTTGTATTCAACCAGGAAATGTCAGTGTTTCTCTGAGTTCTGTGAGCTGCTACAGGAAATTAATCAAACCCAAAGAGGAGGTCATGGGATCCCCATCTTGAAGCCAGTCGATCAGAAGTTCTGGAAGTCTACGCTTGGGAATGGTGTGGGGGACAGTCTTGGGGACTTAGCCTTTACTCTGTGGGATGTGGGACTGTCTCTGGGTAGACAGCATCAGAGTTGACTTAGAGGACACCCAGCTGCTGTTCGCTACTGGGTCTGGGGAAAAAAAAATCCCACACATCTGGTCCTAGAAGTCTTCTTCTGTGTTGATGATTCCTGTGATGTGAGAGTAGAGGAAAAGCACTGTAGAGAGAGCTCTCTGTACGTAGAGAGGTAAAGGAAGTTCTTATCAGCAACAAGGGAGAGGCTGACAGCTGCCTAGAAACAGAGTTCCCTGGTTCCAGAGGTTCAAAGCCAGAGTTGCTGTCAGTCCTTTGGAGGAGATGGCATTGCTGAGCAAGTGTTCTCTCAAGAGCATCTTATCTGAATTCCTGACGTCCTAAAGAATAGCTAGTGATAAACCTTGTCAAAGCAGGAGGAGGGTGAAGGACGTGGAAGAGGGACAGAACTAACCTTAAACCTTTTGATTTATGATACTGGGATGACGTTTTCCTCATTTAGGTCTTTTGTTATTTCTTTGAGCAGTAGTTTTAAATTGTCAATGTGAACGTATTGCATCTCTTTGGTTAAATGTATTTCTCTTTTTTTTTTTTTTTTTTGAGACAGAGTCTCACTCTGTTGCCCAGGCTGGAGTGCCATGGCAAGATCTCAGCTCACTGCAACCTTTGCCTCCTGGGTTGAAGCAATTCTGCTGCCTCATACTCCTGAGTAGCTGCGTTTACAGGCGTGTACCACCACGCCCAGCTACTTTTTGTATTTGGATAAATGTATTTCTATGCGTACTTTTCTTGTAGACACTGGTATAAATTGACTTGTTCCTCTAATATACATGTTGAAATGCTGAGCTCCATTAGCTATAAATGTCAACACAGTTGGAAATAGTCTTTGCAAATGCATTTAAGTCATGATCAAGAGATCATAATGAATTAGAATGGGTCCTAATTTGATCTGAGTGATATCATCATCTGAAGAAGAGAAGAGACACACAGAGAAGAATGGGTGTAAATACAGAGGTACCCAGGTAGACGTAGGCTGAGAAGATGGAGGCAGAAATTGGCGCAACACTGCCCCAAGCCAAGGAGTGTGTGAACCAGCAGAAAGTAGGACAAGTCATTTAAGAATTCTTCCATCGGCCAGGTGCAGTGGTGTACACCTGTATTCCCAGCACTTTGGGAGGCCGAGGCGGGTGCATCACCTGAGGTCAGGAGTTCAAGACCAGCCTGACTAACATGGTGAGATTCCCATCTCTACTAAAAATACAAAGATGAGCCGGGAATAATGGTGCACACCTGTAGTCCAATTACTCGAGAGGCAGAGGCAGGAGAATCGCTTGAACCTGGGAGGGGGATGTTTCAGTGAGCCGAGATCGCGCCTTTGCTCTCCAGCCTGGGTGACAGAGCGAAACTCCATCTCAAAAACAAAACAAAACAAAACAAAAGAACAAAACATTCTTTCATTGAACCTGCACAATTATGTCAACATCTTTCTTATGTTGTACTTAGATTTTTAAGTGAGCCGTGTTATCTCTCACATCAGATATTAATATGTCTGTCTTTTGTGGATATACTAGGATAGCAGTGTCAGAGTTTCATTTGGCCTGTGCCATAACACTGAAGCCGAAGTGATCATTGCCTCTGAATTAGAAAGGACTGTAGGTAGATGAGTGAGCTCTCAGTGGGATGTGCCACAGGTGCCTGGTGCTCATTAGTGAAGACACCTGTGTCACTCACTTCCCAACCCTACATTCAGTGACAATGGCACCTTGATTTGGGCCATGAAAAGAAATATTTATGTCACCGAAATTGGTAGATACCACCAATAATAGCATTTTAAAGACGTCTTTTTCAGAATCAGCATAGCTGTGGTGTCACTTGAAATGTGTGAGTGATGATTCCAAGTGGTGATATTTCAGGAAAAGTTGCACACAGAGCATCTGAGAAGGAGGGAAGAGCTCGAAGGGTGCAGAGAGGCTGTCAGGGCATCAGAGTGGATTTATCTTTACCTGGTTGGAATTTGATCTGTCGTTGACTTAGTTGGTGGTTCAGGTTTGGATCTCTGAACTGAAGAGATGGCGACTCGGTAAGGGACATCAAGGAGTGTGACAATGAGGAATAAGGAAGACTGTGTTACATGCCGTGGACCAGAGCACGCAGGTGTGCGGAGGTGTGGACACAACGCTGCCATGTGGGATGGAGCTTCATGTCTGGGGATGGGAAAAAAGGGGGATCCATTCTAGGAAAGTCAACATTCATAGTTAAAAAAATGTATCACAGTTTAATGATCTTCTAGGAATCACCCCAGACAGTTTCCCTGCACACAAATATGGATTCCTGTCTCTAGAAGTGACCAGCAGAGAGTTCAGATAATGTAGGTCCTAGATTGTCCTCCAGAACTTCCTGGGATCATCAGATCTGTCCCTGAGGCTCCACCACTCTGAAGGGAGCATTGTCCTCTCTGCTGTTCACCGGCCGGCTGCATCTTGGGGGCTTCTCTGGCTGTGCTGAGCCTCAAATAGCAGAATCCCGAGGACCACCAGGACCAAGCCAGCCACGCCCATGCGGATGAGATTCTCCACTGTGTAATCCTGTGGGTGTTGGCCTAGGGGTGGTGGACAAAGGTCACAGAGGTCAGAGCTGGTCAGAATCACCCCAGGACTCCTGGATGTCCACCCAGGGCACCCACCTCCCCTTGACAGCCCCTGACCCTCTGTGCCAGTCCCATAACCGAGAGCATCTCCTCACTCACCAGTCTTGGAGTCTGTCTGGTTTTGTGACGGGCTGAGGGTCTCAGCTGCTCCTGAGAATCAAAACAGTGGAGAAGAGCCCTGAGGCCAGCCTCGCTCCTGGGTTCTGCATTCTTCTCTTCCCTTGTGTCTATTGACATGAGTTTTATGGAGTTCCTCAAAAACCCTTCCTCTGCTGTAGCAGGGTTCCCTCCAGTCTCCTCATTAATTATGTCAGACTTCCTGTGCCCTACAAATCCAAGCTCGGCTCCTGAGTCATTCGGGAGAGTTTTCCTGCACCCCGGGAGCTCAGCATCTATCAGGAAAGTGGTCCCCAGTCCAGAAATAACTAAGACCTTGTGTGCTCTCTGAGCCCTCACAGGCTGCAAGGATCAGGTGCAGGACTACAGCAGTCAATTCCCCTGGAGATGAGAGTCTCACGTATCCACCAGCTGAAGACGTAGGCTCCATGGAGGAGGGGTTGGACCTCAGGGGCTCCTGAATGTCAGGAGCACAGAGGGGTGAAAGTCTGGGCCTGCCTCCCCTTCATGCCCTCAGCCACTTCACCTGGGGTTTCATCTTCCGTTTAATCCCTAGGTAACGAATTCCTCTTGCAGGCAGGAATCCCTAGAATGCAATACAGGTGCACACACACCGGCACACACAGATAAGCATGTGCTAAGTGGTGGTGCTAACCGAGCTTCATAAATCAATATTTCTGCTTTCAGGAAGTGTGAAACTAGCTGAGAAAACCAATAACAAACATGTAAAGATCTGTCACGTCAAATGTATTAAGCATATGGATGAATACACATAAAAATGTATTTAGATATACCTACACACATTCAGATGTAAGTATATAACTGTACATAAACATGTGTATATATGTAAAACTTCAGATATATGCTTAATATGAAGTTATATACATGTTAGTATTTGAGTGAGAAATATTGCTATGCAATTTAGAAATAAAGAAATCAAATTTCCATGTTTTATAATTTATATAAATTTTACCAGAAATTAAAAGAGATCTACTGAAAAGTAATTAGAAAGGAGTGATTCTGTCGTGACTGAACACGAATTTAAAAGAATATGCTCAAACCAGTCGCTTTCTCATGGATACCTCTCTTATTTTAAAAAAGATAAATCAAATATCTCACCTAAAAATTGTTAAAGATGTTGAATAAGTCTTTAAGTTAAAATGAGCATACAATATTCTTATGAGCAAAATTTCAAAACACTTCTTAAATTCATTAAGAAAATTTCCATTTTGAATGTCTAAAGGAGGAAGATTTGATATTAATGAGAAATTCGTTTCTACATTGATTGTATAAATTAAATCAAGACCCAATTAAAGAGGGAGTATCATTCATGATTTTTAAATAATAAATGCATACGACAAATAAAATCATAAATTTATATATTCACATATTGTTTTAAAAGTTTTAGAGAAAAAGGAACGATGGACACGTGCGTATAGAAAACGCAGAGTAGAAATGAGTTGTACAAAAGATGGGCTGTGAATAATTCCCTAACTCGTTCAGGGAGCAGGTGCACAGCCCCTCCTTATTCTCAGGGGTGCCCTGAGCACAGAAGCCTCCAGATGGGCACAGGAGGGGCAGTGTGAGGGGCACCCACAGCCGGGGTGCTTCTCTCTAAAGGAGCGGGTCTGGGGCACACTCCAGCCTCATCACAGTCAGATCCCACCGAGGCCCGAGCAGCTTCTTCTCCAGTCCTGAGATGGCCCAGGGACCCCGCAGGTGTGGGTGAGGGGCTCATTCTCAGGGGCCCTTGGAAATGAGAAATGAGAGCTGCCAAGGGAACGTCTGTCTGTCCTCTCTCCATCTCGCCTGCCTCTCTTCCTCCTCCATCAGTCCAGCATCTTCCCCGTGTCCAAATCAGACTGGGCCCCAGATCCTGCTGACCCAGCCTGTTCTCCTTTCTCTACTCATCAGACATCCTGCAGGACAAGGTCGGAGTCTGGGGTTCCTGCAGAGCTGTGCCAGGTGTTGCTTTTAGTAGAAAAATGGAGAGATTTTCTCTTATACATGAGACAGGGGAGATTGTCAACCAGTGGGGTTTGTAAACTTTTGTTCTTTCCAAAATATTGTGGCTTTGTCTTACTAAGCTGAGATTCCAGGAGGGATGAGTAAAACTGCACGCACCTGCCCCCATCTCTGTTGGTTTTTTTTTTTTTTTAAACCCTTACAGTTATTGGGACAATCGGGACAGGGCCTGAGAGGGCTGCAGGCGGGAGCAGATCTAGGATGAGCCGCATCCCAGATGCCCCAGAAGGTCAGAAATGAAGGGGCTTTGGGGTGGTCACATCCAGGCAGCTCCCCGTTATTCAGATGGGGAGTCCAGGGTGCAAGGGGAACCACTTTTTCAGAATTTCCACCTCCCAAGGAGAGGCTGAGCCATCACAGACCCAGCCCCACCTCCCCGGGCTCCTCCCACCTGACTCCTAGAGCAAGCACCTGCCTGTGATGGCCCCTGGCCCTGGCTCCCCATGAGAGGTGATGGCTCCTGGGAATCCTGCTCGGGGAGGGGGAAGGTGCCCGCTGCTCCACTCATCAATGCCGAACCTCAGACACCTCCCTCCCCTCTGACCACCACGGAGGGAGCACCTGCCCCATCCTGGAGCACCAGGAAGCCACGCGGACCACACCCTTACTGTCCACCCTGCCCTCTGCTGCCCTGAATGAGATCCCGAATATTGGAGGTAGCAGTGAGATGAATCTAGAAACTTCTCTTGAGCTGGGAATGGCTGTTTTTGTCACCCATGAGTCAGGACTTAGAGGTTGGGACCCCCAGAGACTCTGATTCTGAGGTGGAGACATCAGGAGGGGAGCAGGTGGGGCCTCCGTCTTCCACCCTCAGTCGAATCTCATCTCTGATGTTCACCCCCATCTCCTCCCAGCACTCCCTGCTCTTTACCCTACTGAGACTTCAGGGATGGGAGCCAGGGGTGGGAGGTCCCGTCTATTTCCACCCTCTCATGGGCTGGGCCCTTCCCTGCGGACCCTCCCCCTTCACTGCCCTCAATCATTATTGTTCCAGAGCTCCCCTGGAGGCAGGGCCTGAGCTGAGCCTTTGAGCTCAGAGAGGACAGGGTCAGGGCCCTCACCTGAGACCACGAGCTCCAGGGGGTCACTGGGGGCCGACCACTCGGAGGAGAGGTTGTGTGCACCACAGCATCTGTACTGGCCCCCGTGGGAGTGGCTCACAGGGCCCAGGGGGAAGTTGGCCTGGGAGAGCCCAGCCTGGGGCTGCCGGCCAGGGTGCTGGAGGAAGTCACGTCTCCGCTCCTTGTATAGAGCGAATCTGTCGTAGCCGACATCAGAGCCACACTGGAGGATCAGCTTATCCCCAGGGGCCACGACAGGACCCGGCTGCTCTGAGAGTGACAGCTTCTTAGAAACACCTGGGAAAAGGTGGTCACGGTTTCCAGGAGCGACCCTCAGGCTTCCCCACAAACCCTCCCTCTCCCCCTGGGCCTCACCACTGCTGATCTTCCTGTGTCTCTGGCCCCAGGAGCCCTGAGCCCTCTCGTCCCAACATCATCCCACCTGGCGCTGCCCTGAGACGTGGCTCCTCCCCACCTGAGACCTCGAGCTCCAGGGGCTCACTGGGGTGAGTCAGCAGGTAGGGGTTGGAGCTGAATGAGGCGTAACACCTGTAGGTCCCCGCGTGGGCTGAGGTCACAGGACTCATGGGAAATTCAGCCTGGTACATATGAGACCGGCGCTTTGATTTCAGACTCAGGGGGGCATCAGCTGCTCCCTCCTTGGTCAGAAGGAAAGTGTCCATCCATCCCTGTGACTGACACAGCAGGGTCACGTTCTCTCCTGAGGCCACTGTGGGGCCCGGCTGCACTGAGAGGGAGGGTCTGGCCTGGGTCTGTCCTGGAAAGAAGACGGATGGGTGAGGGGCTGCCCCACCTTGTTCTGAGCTGAGACCTCCCCAGGGCTCTCTCTGGGACCCTCAGTCTCTCTGTCTCTGGTTTCTCTGAGTCTCCCCCTCCCCACCCATCCCTGAGTCTGTCTCTCCCTCCCTTGGGACCCCCACCCCATATCCCGGCCATCACCACCTGGGATCCCCCGGCAGGGCCTGTGCAGAGCCTGGGTCCCTGACTGAACCCGCTGGGCTCCTCACCTGCGATCAGGATGTCCAGGGGGTCGCTGGGGGCCGACCACTCGGAGGAGAGGTTGTGTGCACCGTAGCATCTGTACTGGCCCCCGTGGGACACCCTCACAGGGCCCAGGGTGAAGTTGGTCTGGGAGAGCCCAGCCTGGGGCTGCCGGCCAGGGCGCTGGAGGAATTCACGTTCTCCCTCTTTGTACAGAACGAATCTGTCGTAGCCGGCATCAGAGCCACACTGGAGGGTCACCTTATCCCCAGGGGCCACGACAGGACCTGGCTGCACTGACAGTGACGGCTTCTTAGAAACACCTGGGAAAAGGTGGTCACGGTTTCCAGGAGCGACCCTCAGGCTTCCCCACAAACCCTCCCTCTCCCCCTGGGCCTCACCACTGCTGATCTTCCTGTGTCTCTGGCCCCAGGAGCCCTGAGCCCTCTAGTGAAAATATCATCCCACCTGGCGCTGCCCTGAGACGCGGCTTCTCCCCACCTGCCCGGAGACTCAGGGAACTCCAGGCAACGCTGTGAATTTCTCACCTGGGACCAGGAGCTCCAGGAGATCACTGGGTAAAGACCACACATAGGGAGAGCGTAAGTCATAACTATAGCACCGGTAGGACCACCTGCGACTCGGGCTCACGGGGCCCACGGAAAAGACGGCCCGGGACCAGCCACGGGCATGGGACTGGCAGTTGAGACGTTGTGGGTGTTCATCTTCTCCTTCCTTACACAGAATGAAGCCACCAAATGCCACCTGTGAGTCACACTGGAGGGTCACGTTTTCTCCTGAGGCCACCACAGGGCTGGGCAGGGCTGAGAGGGTGGGTTTGCTGTAGACTCCTAGGAGAGAAGGAGGCACCGTGTTAAATGGGCTCCCACCTCTCGCATCATCCCCAGGGCTGGGCTGTGAGAGGGAGACACCCCTGAGAGCCGCCCCTCTTCCTGAGGACAGACCTGGGGCTGGGAGCCCTGAGTGTCCTCTCACCTGTCACCATCAGGTCCAGGGGGTCACTGAGCTCTGACCACCCAATGTGGCTGTAATACTGACAGCGATACCGCCCTGAGTGTTCCCAGGTGATGGATGGGATGGGGAACTGGCCCTTCTTCACAAGCTCTGGTCGTATCAATGTAATCCAGGATGCTGGTTTTCTCTCCCTATATAGATGGTACTCCCGGGCTTCAAGGTTTCCCTGACACCTGAGGGTCACGGGACTCCCCTGGGTGATCACACGGTCTGGCTCAGCCCAGAGTCTGGGCTTGGGGAGGATTCCTAAAAGGAAATCAGAGATCGGATTCTAAGTCATTTCCCACCCAACAGATCTCAGCTATTGGCTGCAGGACCCTCCAGATGCCCCCATCAGTCAGCCCAGACCTGCTAATCCCCGTCCCCAGCTGCACGGGGGTGGCCCCTTGTCCCCAGTGAGTAGGAGGGACCTGGGACAGCTGGGGACAGACTCACCTGCCTGCACATGGGTCCTGGGGCCCAGACTCAGCCCTGGAAGAGAGTTCCCTGTGAGAGATTTGCCCCTGAAGCCTGAGCAGGTCCTCCCCTCCCTGGGATCTTTGTGAGCCCCTGGGGCCTCCTTATGCACCAGAGTTTGGCTGTGGGGTGAGGCCCCTCCTAGGTTAGAATCTCCCCTCCCTCTTCAAATCTCACCGAGACAGATCAGGAGCGTGAGGATGGGGGTCATGGCGTCTCCTCCCAACGCCCTGCTCTGCGGATGGAGGAGCCCTCGGTGCTGGCAGGACAGAGACAAACAGAGAGAAATAGCCTCCCCTCCTTCCCACCCTGTGCGGACACTCGGAGGCTGGGTCCTTCTCCTGGGGTGTTGTCATCTGCAGCTACACAGGAAGCAGAACTGACCTCCCAGGATCCCGACTCTCATTCTCTTAGGTCTGAGGTTGGGGCAGGCACAGGGCCCTCTGCAGACATTTCAGACTGTAATGGGGTCTTTCCTGACCCCCAGCCGCTGTCTGTCTGGTTTATCCTCGTCTCACTGAGAGCTGGGATGTAGCGGCAAATAGAACTGGTGCTTCCTGTGTCTGCCCTTCCAGATGAGGGTAGCGGAGGCTTCCCCTTCCTTCTCACAGCCTCCCGCAAGGTCTCCCTCCCTCCTTCAGCCCGTCCATCAGCACACGTTGTGTGGTCCTTACCATGGCAGTTATCTCTCCAGCCCTGGAGATGCTTCAGGGAAGACACAGGTCCATGTCACAGGCAGACTCAGACCAGCAGAGACACGTCTCGCATCTCGCTGTGCCTTCCAGGCTGAGCTGCGTGTAGCAGTGAGGACAGAAGAGAAATGCAGGGAAATAGGGGAAGAAAAGTTGACTTCTTTCTTGGCACTGGACTGTGGGTTTTCTTTCAATAGTTCCCTCTCAACTTCCCCTTTTTAATTTTTTTTTTTTTTTGTGCTAGAGTGTCCACCCCTCCCCCCAGGAACAAACCTCTGAGTCTTTCCTGCCTCCTCGGTGCCCCTTTGCGTCCTTGGCCGTCCCTCTGCACCTCAATTCCTGGTCAACATTTTGGGAACAATGGCTTATGTTTGCGCTTTGATTTGAGGAGCTGAGGAGGGAGTTGATACTTATTTGATGACTGGTTTTCATCCACTGCCTATGTGACCTTGGTTTGTAGTGTCCCATCTCTGAGCCTCAGCTTCTTCCTTTGCAGACTGTTGTCATGAATCCCACTCGTCACCGTGGTTGTGGGGTCAGTGGTGCCTGGACATTGGGAGGGACTCATTTCTGCCTGATTTCCAGACCAGGGTAAGACCTGAGGTGTTTGGGACATGAGAGGGTCTTGGTGTTGGACTCCACAGTCTACGTAGGTGATTGATGTGTCCACTTAAGATGTCACATCTGACCCTAATGGAGAAATGTACATCAGGCATTTCTGAAATACCCAGAGCATCAATATCATGAGCAGAAAAAGATGTGTGGAAGCCCCGAGTGTAGAAGGATCCACAAGAAAGAACAGAAGTCAGAGGTGAGATGCCACAGGTTCCTGGGACCATCAAGGGCTCATTAGGGTGTAGGTTTCCGCATTGAGTGGAGCCCGGAGAGGAGCCTCGGGATCTGTAACACAGTGAGGAGCTCAGGGCTCCAGACCAAGGTGGGAGGCTGCGTCTTCCAGCCACACCTGAGGCTCGAGTGGACCCCAAGCAGCCCAGAGGAGTTCCCTCAAAGGAGTGCACCAAACCGTCCAGTGATAGAGCTGCTGGGATTCCATAGAAAGAAGCACTAAACACCAGGGTGTTCATAGAGCATTTATTAGGGGGACTTCCATAGAGTGGGGCATCCTTGTCTCCTTGCCCAGTGTCTCCTTGTGGATCTCAAGGATGTGCTTCCACATAGCAGCATGTTCTTCAGATGGACAAGGAGACACTGGGTGTTCTATCCAAAGCTTTAACCTAAAATAAAAATAAACACAAAAATAAACCCCTAGAGAATATGATCTCTCAGTACAGTTGTTTCTTGGGATACACAGGCAATTCATTTCAGTACCCGCTACGTGTAACAAAACTTGCTGGTACTCCAGCCCTGACATTGTCTCTGCTAGACCTGCATATAGGAAAAGCCCACTGTTCATATACACAAGTTTTGCTTCTCACAAATGCAATAGTTCTGATCCCCATTTGTTTGAAAAACGTGTGCACATAAGAGACCCCAGGAATTCAAGGTTGTGTTGCTCCAGGGTTGCCTGGATTTTGAGTGTATTTGGGAATGAGAAACAAGGATTACAATCTGGAGTGCATGGCATGGCAAGCCACAGTGCATCCGGGGAGGGAAGTGTGATGTTGGGATATATGCTGGTGTTCACCCACGGTTCCTGGTTCATAACTCCCATAGCGCTTGTTACAGTTTTTCGTTAGAATGTTGGCTGTGTTGGGCTTAAGCGGCGCCTCTGACCTCCTTCTGCCCTTCCTTCACCTGCCCAAGGCACGACTCGAATGTTCCCTGCCTTTCTGATGGTGGCTCATAAGACCCTCCCAGAGGATGGTCTCACCCTGTTCCTTGTGGGAGGAAATGCTGACATCATGAAGCTTCCATAAAAGCCCAAGAGGACTGGGTTTCATGAGTTTCTGGATGGCTGAACACGTGGAAGCTCCTGCGGGGTGGTGCCCAGGGAGGGCATGGAAGTCCCGCGTCCCTTCCCCCATGCCTCCTGCTATGTGTCTCTTCATCTGTGTCCTCTGCAGTGTGCTTTGTATTCAACCGGGAAATGTCAGTGTTTCTCTGAGTTCTGTGAGCTGCTACAGTAAATTATTCAAGCCCAAAGAGGGGATCATGGGATCCCCAACTTGAAGCCAGTCGATCAGAAGTTCTGGAGGTCTGCGCTTGGGAATGGTGTGGGGGACAGTCTTGGGGACCTAGCCTTTAATCTGTGCGATGTGGGATTGTCTCTGGGTAGACAGCATCAGAGCTGACTTAGAGGACACCCAGCTGCTGTTCGCTACTGGGTCTGGGGGAAAAAAAATCCCACACATCTGGTCCTAGAAGTCTTCTTCTGTGTTGATGATTCCTGTGATGTGAGAGTAGAGGAAAAGCACTGTAGAGAGAGCTCTCTGTACCTAGAGAGGTAGAGGAAGTTCTTATCAGCAACAAGGGAGAGGCTGACAGAGCTGCCTAGAAACAGAGTTCCCTGGTTCCAGAGGTTCAAAGCCAGAGTTGCTGTCAGTCCTCTGGAGGAAATGCCGTTGCTGGGCAAGTGTTCTCTCGAGAGCATCTTACCTGAATTCCTGACGTCCTGAAGAATAGCTAGCAATAAACCTTGTCAAAGCAGGAGGAGGGTGAAGGACACGGAAGAGGGACAGAACTAACCTTAAACCTTTTGATTTATGATACTGGGATGACGTTTTCCTCATTTAGGTCTTTTGTTATTTCTTTGAGCGGTAGTTTTAAATTGTCAATGTGTACATATTGCATCTCTTTGGTTAAATGTATTTCTCTTTTTTTTTTTTTTGAGACAGAGTCTCACTCTGTTGCCCAGGCTGGAGTGCCATGGCACGATCTCAGCTCACTGCAACCTTTGCCTCCTGGGTTGAAGCGATTCTGCTGCCTCAGACTCCTGAGTAGCTGGGTTTACAGGCGTGTGCCACCACCCCCAGCTACTTTTTGTATTTGGATAAATGTATTTCTATGAGTACTTTTCTTGTAGACACTGGTATAAATTGACTTGTTCCTCTAATATACATGTTGAAATGCTGAGCTCCATTAGCTATAAATGTGAACATAGTTGGAAATAGTCTTTGCAAATGCATTTAAGTCATGATCAAGAGATCATAATGAATTAGAATGGGTCCTAATTTGATCTGAGTGATATCATAATCTGAAGAAGAGAAGAGACACACAGAGAAGAATGGGTGTAAAGACAGAGGTACCCAGGTAGACGTAGGCACTGAGAAGATGGAGGCAGAAATTGGCGCAACACTACCCCCAAGCCAAGGAGTGTCTGAACCAGCAGAAAGTAGGACAAGTCATTTAAGAATTCTTCCATCGGCCAGGTGCAGTGGTGTACACCTGTATTCCCAGCACTTTGGGAGGCCGAGGCGGGTGGATCACCTTAGGTCAGGAGTTCAAGACCAGCCTGACTAACATGGTGAGCCTCCCATCTCTGCTAAAAATACAAAGATGAGCCGGGAATAATGGTGCACACCTGTAGTCCAATTACTCGAGAGGCAGAGGCAGGAGAATCGCTTGAACCTGGGAGGGGGGATGTTTCAGTGAGCCGAGATCGCGCCTTTGCTCTCCAGCCTGGGTGACAGCGAAACTCCATCTCAAAAACAAAACAAAACAAAACAAAACAAAAAAACAAAACATTCTTTCATTGAACCTGTACAATTATGTCGACATCTTTCTTATGTTGTACTTAGATTTTTAAGTGAGCCGTGTTATCTCTCACATCAGATATTAATATGTCTGTCTTTTGTGGATATACTAGGATAGCAGTGTCAGAGTTTCATTTGACCTGTGCCATAACACTGAAGCCGAAGTGATCATTGCCTCTGAATTAGAAAGGACTGTAGGTAGATGGGTGAGCTCTCAGTGGGATGTGCCACAGGTGCCTGGTGCTCATTAGTGAAGACACCTGTGTCACTCACTTCCCAACCCTACATTCAGTGACAATGGCACCTTGATTTGGGCCATGAAAATAAATATTTATGTCACAGAAATTGGTAGATACCACCAATAATAGCATTTGAAAGATGTCTTTTTCAGAATCAGCATAGCTGTGGTGTCACTTGAAATGTGTGAGTGATGATTCCAAGTGGTGATACTTCAGGAAAAGTTGCACACATAGCATCTGAGAAGGAGGGAAGAGCTCGAAGGGTGCAGAGAGGCTGTCAGGGCATCAGAGTGGATTTATCTTTACCTGGTTGGAATTTGATCTGTCGTTGACTTAGTTGGTGGTTCAGGTTTGGATCTCTGAACTGAAGAGATGGGGACTCAGTAAGGGACATCAAGGAGTGTGACAATGAGGAATAAGGAAGACTGTGTTACATGCCGTGGACCAGAGCATGCAGGTGTGCAGAGGTGTGAACACAACGCTGCCATGTGGGATGGAGCCTCATGTCTGGGGATGGGAAAAAAGGGGGATCCATTCGAGGAAAGTCAACATTCATAGTTAAAAAAATGTATCACAGTTTAATGATCTTCTAGGAATCACCGCAGACAGTTTCCCTGCACTCAAATACGGATTCCTGTCTTTGGAAGTGACCAGCAGACAGTTCAGATAATGTAGGTCCTAGATTGTCCTCCAGAGCTGCCTGGGATCATCAGATCTGTCCCTGAGGCTCCACCTCTCTGAAGGATGCATTGTGGTCTCTGCTCTTCACCGGCCGGCTGCATCTTGGGGGCTTCTCTGTCTGTGCTGAGCCTCAAATAGCAGAATTCCGAGGACCACCAGGACCAAGCCAGCCACGCCCATGCGGATGAGATTCTCCACTGTGTAATCCTGTGGGTGTTGGCCTAGGGGTGGTGGACAAAGGTCACAGAGGTCAGAGCAGGTCAGAATCACCCCAGGACTCCTGGATGTCCACCCAGGGCACCCACCTCCCCTTGACAGCCCCTGACCCTCTGTGCCAGTCCCATAACGGAGAGCATCTCCTCATTCACCAGTCTTGGAATCTGTCTGGTTTTGTGACGGGCTGAGGGTCTCAGCTGCTCCTGAGAATCAAAACAGTGGAGAAGAGCCCTGAGGCCCGCCTCACTCCTGGGCTCTGCATTCTTCTCTTCCCCTGTGTCTATTGAGATGAGTTTTATGGAGTATCAGAAACCCTTCCTCTGCTGTAGCAGGGTTCCCTCCAGTCTCCTCATTAATTATGTCAGACTTCCTGTGCCCTACAAATCCAAGCTCGGCTCCTGAGTCATTCTGGA